GAGAGAGAGAGAGAGAGAGAGAGAGAGAGAGAGAGAGAGAGAGAGAGAGAATAAGGTATTAAGGTATTATTGGTCTCGAAAACTGTAACTCCTTTCTATTATACATGAAGTTGCTGTCGTTGTAACATGTACAGGATAAGTTGAAAAATGCACCAAGGTGAATTTGCTGTTTAATAAGCCGAAGCTTCGCGAAAACTCGATCTGCTTTTCCTGTCTTGTCTTTCCTTCTTTTCCTCTTTTTAGTATTGCTCTTTTTACTTGTACAAGCTCTCATCTTTCCTCTCCTTATCTTGAAGCTTAAGATAAGTAATTTTCGCACAAATTACAAATCACATACGTTAAAGAAACCGCTAAAGTAATCACGACCAAATGGATTTATTTATGTACAAAGTATAAAAGTTTTCGGTGAAACGACAAACAAAAGAAATTTTAATGTGACCACGCTGTGAAATAAATCAGGCTGTTTTGATTACAAAATTATATATCACTTATTACTTGTTATTTCTTTATAAAGAAAAAGTATTAAAAGGAACAAAAATTATACATAAAGCATTCGGTAATACAGAAAAAGTAATGTCATAAAAGATATTATAAATTATTATCGTATATTTATTGCATCATCTTTTACATAAATCGATGTATATATATATCGATCAACGGTTTCCAGAAAACATAAACTGCGGAATCTGGAAATTTGTATGTGCTTAAAAGTATCTTATTTTCTTGTAGAAATTCCGTGACATTTATCATATAATCGGCAAATATCGTTTTAATATTCTTTAAAGTAAACTCCCTGGAAATTCTATCTCACAGGTTTAATAAAAATTTTCGTTTTAAACGTATGAATACTTAATTTTACTCTCATCCCGCACGTAAGTAACAGTTATTTAGTATTCATGAAATTAATTCAGAATTATTGAGTGCGTAAGTTTAATATAAATTTTGCTTAACTTATTATTTACATCGCGCTAATGTTTAATATTTTGTGCTTAGTATTTTAAAGACTAATCCGATTCAAAATAAAAAATAATTTATAAATATATTCTGAAACCGTTTAGCACAAATATGATGCAAAAATAAAAATTTTAATAAAAATAAACATTAATTTAACAAACATTAAATGTCAAAACGTGGTCAAAATTTCAGAACAAGAGAAATAAAAGGCATATACCACGAGTGCTTGATGTCGTACAGCGAAACTTCTTTCAAAGTCAATACATAAAATTACATTAAATTAATAAATAAAATAGACGTTTCGGCCTTCTATTGGGCCATCATCAGTAATATAAATATAAATTATAAATTACGCAGTAATGTATAGTATACAAATAAAAATTGAGTTCTTTCTTCGTTACATGTCTATGTCAATAAGCTCGCTAGATTTCTTATTTTACTTTCTTTCGGTGTGTATTTTCAATGTATCTATAATTTCATGTTCCACAATGTTACCGATATGATGTATCTGACCACATGATTTCAAAATTCTAATGATAATAATAATTCATGCTAGTTAGCCGTTACATATTCTAAATTATCTTTTATAAATTCAAACCTGTGTACCAGTAGATTTGTGATTAATTTAACATTTTCGTAGACGCTGACATAGTGCTACACTGTTAAAAATGTGACCACATCCTTTACATGTAAATGAAGCTCGTGGTTATGAACGAAATTAAAAGTAATGAATGATTTAACTAAAAATTAAGTTACAGTAGTTACTTAAATGTAATGAACGTGTACATTAAATTTATGAAATTTAATGTACTTTTCATAAAATTTTATGAAAAGTACATCAAATTTCATGTAAAATACATTAAATTTCATATACATGTAGACAAATATACTTTTCAGTTATAAATACATTAAATTTAATGTAATGTCATGAAATTAAGTTCAAATTGGGTAAATTAAAAGTATATTATATTTCATGAAATTTTTAACAGTGTATGTCTTTCTAAATTGTAGCTGATTTTGACATAGTACTATATATGTTCTTTCAAAATTTAAAATATAATTGATTGCCGCTGATATCTTTTTATTTTTTAAATTCAAATTAATAAAATTGAGGTTTAAAAGAATTCAAGTTAGTTTTAACTTAAAAATTAAACAAAAAGAGATAATTTGATTAAAAAAATATCATGTAAAATATAAATATTATATTGTATTTTTGTATAAAAATGTAGGAATTAATTTCCTTTTAAGATAAAAACGTCAAATTAATTTTATTGTTATGGCCAAATGTTTAATTAAAAATGTTAAATATTAAATATTAAAAGTGCAATTAATTTTTTCAAAAAAATATATACATGAATTTTAAAAGTTCTTTTTAACTTTAAATTTCACGTGTTCATAATTTGATACTTTATTTGAATTTATAGCAGATAAATTACAAATTTCAAACATCAAATAAATAATTACAAACACGATATTTTATCAAATTTTATAGTTTTTATTCTTATTTTCATAATCCTGCGGTACAATCAGCTATGGATTTAAATTTAATGTATTTGGCTTCCAGTTTTAGAAAAGTGAAAAAATTATCGGATGTGAAATATCGAAATTTTGCATTTTTTATAAAATATACTTCTCTCATTTTTTAAATACATAAAAATATAATATAAAAAATTGTCTTACAATCATACTTAAAAATAAAATTTGATAATTGGTAAAATTTACCTTTACGATGTTGAATATTTTTTGTCCGACCGATTCCTATTCGTGCAAATTTTTCGCAAATTCGATGAATTAAATTATATCTACATTTTATCATTTTCCAAAATAAAGATTAAACATTTGTTCTAAGAAAGTTGAAAGTATTTTTGTGAATTTTTAGAGATTTTTTGAATTATTTTAAATAGATGAAAAAATAAACGGATTTATATAAAAATACTCAGATTTATATCGATAAGGCACTGTTTTACCTGGTACTGTAAAATTATTTAAAAAGTTTGTATAATTCTAATAATTTAATGGTTGTTTTTTATGCAGAAGCTATTTATTATAATCGAAAATTCTAATTAAGATTATACAGTTTTTTGTATTAAAAAAATTATTTTGATAATGCCCCTCCTTTTACAGTGTCTACATAAAGAGAGTTCTCTGGAGGAGCAGTTCAGTATCAGCGCGCTCCTCACTCTGATGGAGTGAACGGCAAGGTTCACAAAACGTTAGTATTAACAATGGATAAAAAGACGACGATAACCCGTAAATCTTCTGGTATCTTTGAAAAAATTGTTTTAGTTTTTAAATAACTGACGACTCCATTTCTATTCTAAAATTGTGTAAAATTATGCTTCTACAATCCAAATTATGCTACAGTATTCTAATTAAGAAAATTTTAATGAAATATGAACAGTATAATATGCTATTTTCCATAAATATAAAAAAATATAACTGGCATTCAACTATTACAACGAATTTTAGGATATGACTCGTAGGCGTGATTCAATTAAGTGGTTTATTATAATCTACATATAAGTAATATCACAGTCACTCTATCAAAATTTTACTTTTCAACATCGTCGCAATCCTTCGCGTGTTTACGCGAAACGATTTACGCAGCGTCCAAAGGGATATATAGCCACATAATTTCGTAGTGATTAGCCACACATGACACCGTCCGGTATATTTAACTAACTAATGTAGCTGCAAATTACCTATTAGCGAGCATTACAAGCGGCAGATAGGCACGCGATAATCAAATTAACGGAATGGTTAACGTCTCCCGGCATGGAAACTGCACTAACAGGACTAACCGCGCAAAGTGCACATGCGTACGCTTGTGGATGTTCAAGTTTGTGCGTTTCGATCGGGATGCGTATGTATGTGATACATGGATGCGAATGGGATCCCGACATTCGCGTATAAACGTTATAACAGTCGTGATATAGCAATGTTCCATGTGTGGAATGGTTGAAGGAGAGAGAATGAAAAGCATAAGAGGCGGAGCGTTATCCGAAGGGAGAATATTATCGCTTCATTATGCTGAAAGTCCTCGAAGGGTCGATACGATTATACGGTAAACCGAGTAATCGGGCTTTGCAACATGGCAAGCCGGTTACGCGAGTAAAATCCATATTGAAATTGCGGAACAATGCGGCACCCGGGTCAATGCGTGATTGACCGAGAGCACTAGTATTCTTTCTCTTATTATTTTATTATCTTAGATTCAGTTTATAAAGCCCCATAATGTGAATTACATAGGTTACAGAAAATCACATTTTTGTAAATATGGAAGTAATTTGCTGAATCCAACAATGAGATCGATTATGTAATGGACGCATATTGATATAATTATGTAAGTTTGACTTATGTGAAACAAGAGTTATTTTCTACAAATAACAAATGTTATCCTAACTCAAGAATATTGTGTAAATTGTTAGCATAGCAAATCATACCTTAATTGTCATCGACTTACAAATGCGCTATTTTGATTAATTTCTCGATGAAGAGATAGCTTCATTATCATTGAATTGTATTATTCAGATGGATTGTGCAACACTGACAAATATTACTTATATCGCGTCTCTCTTTTTCTTCAAACAAAAAATTTTTGGATATCATCATGTACCTATTTATTTTGCACGCACAATCTCAGAGAGATCGGCGATGTTATAGTTTGGAAAATGTCGCGTTGAGTCACTAACTAAGCCGAGGTGGGACAGCGAAATGCAAGCTGACGGTCGCAAATGGGCGCTTGTACCGAAACTCACGAACCTGTGTAAGCTGCTCCGTCGCTGCCTCGGTCGCCAGTCTGGCCAGGCCCTCCTCGTACCTTTCCAGAGCCGTCAGTCGTAGAAGCAAGTTTTGCAGCAGCGCCGAAACTTCCTGTCTCGCCGCGGCGTCGACCGCAGCGACTTTCTGCGTGATGGACCTAACGTGACCCATCACCCTCTCATCCCGGAAGTCGTACGGGAATGTTTCCGTCCATTCCGCTAGCAGCTGCACCAACCGCGGCACGAAGCGATGTAATCGTTCCTGGAATACACACACGTACCAGATACTTTAACGTTTTTCAAAAAATGACAAAGCAAAAAAATTATTTTTTTATTTTAGGACGCAAAATATATTTCAGAATGTGAATAAACTGATAAAACGAGATTAGCGTATTAATAAGAGAATATTTGAAGCAATATTTGGTACATAAAGGAGAAATAGCAGCCTTTATAGTTTCAAAATAATATTGTTATATGTATAATATACCTCAGAAATTAACATATAGAAAAAATAACGCAGTAAAATTTATATATGAAAGAGTACTTAAATGTTTGTAATTCAATATTGAAAAAAAAGGAGAAGAAAAGTATCATAGATCTTACAAACATGGATACTCCTTGTGGCTATAATAAGGCTAAAAATAAAAATAACCGACAAAACAAGAGAGTATAGGCCTGTCCTTTTTGGCTAAACTTTTGTACCAATTTATCTTTCTTCCTCTCCTTTCCTCCTGGAGAGAAAAGGAAGAAAGATGAACCGATACAAAAGTTCAGCTAAAAAGAACAGACCTTATAATATCTATTGTTGTGCTCGCACCGTGTCGACACTCATGCCGTACCGTCTCCAAGCGAGTCGAGTCGAGTGAAACATGAAGAGCGCGTTATCGGGACGAGCAGCAGCTCAGCTGTTTAATGGATTAGACAGATTGATAGATTTTTGCAGTCGGGAGTATTGGGACGTCAGACGTCATTACGCTCGGACGTGCTCCGATCACTCTTGAATTGCTCCGCCGTACACGGTCGTTTTGTTTGTAGTGTGTACTCTGAATAAAGCGTCTTGTTTCTTTCTTAACGAACGTGCTTTTCATTTCGTACGTGTACGCGTACGGGCTTGCGATTCGATCGCGCGAGCGTAACAATACTTCTATCTTTTTATTATTAAAATGAGACTATTGTCCATTATGCCCCAAACTCGGGCGTATTGTCATATAAATATGTAGATATAAACTTCAATTATGTTTTATTACATTTTAAAACATAATTGTTCATTAAGTACTTACACGAATGAGAAAGGAAATATTGCCGTTCTTTCTCCAATAATTCTATTACATAGTTCCAATATACACCACATCGTCTTACCATTTTTGCAAGACTTGGTCAATTATAATCTATCGGTTAATGTCATTGCGTGATTTATTTGAAATTGTTGATCATTTCTCATATCATTTCGAATATGCGTGTCGTACGTACATACTATACATACATTTGGATAGATACAACGAAGGATAGAAGGATACAACGCCTCTCTTTCTATCTAATGGAAAAGACGCACCCAGATGTATAAGATCTATGAAAAATATAATCAGACGCACGATTTTGTGATGAAACAATAGTCTACGATTTTCGTGTGATATCAATAAAATGTTTCATATCGTTTCACAAATCGAAAGTATAATTGAAAGTACTAATGCTTACCTTACCGCCCTCTCCATTCAGGTTCTGTTGATGTTCGCAGAGAGCGCAAACTTCGCCCAAAAGCTCGTGTGGCTTGATGAAGAGCCTGGCGCTCAGCAAAAAGGCAAAGAGATACGCTCGATCAGGATAATATTCCTCCGTAGGCACCATGTGCTGCACTAATGCCTCGAGTGAGCCTGAGACGAGGTTGCCATCTCGGTATACTAAAGCCTGAAACAGTATACGAGTTGGGTATATAGTAATAATGCGATAACACAATGCAGCGAATTTAGTGCACTATTTGCTAGAGTTGGTATAATAATGATTAACTTATGAATAATACAATTCAAAGAAAATAAAAAAATATTTTAAATAATATTTTTAAATATTATACAAAAAATTTTCATATTAAAAAATTTTTTTTATATTCTTAAATATTTTGAAATATATTCTTATCTTCAAATTTTCTGTCAATATAAATTTATTTTTCAGCTAAATACAGACTTACAGATATATTCTTGAAAAATTACAATTAGAGCAATATACATATAAAAGCAATTTTTATACGTATACTACTTCACTAATTATTGTAGGATTATAAACATTTCTTATAAACAAAGTGTACTGAAATGTTTTGATTTTGTAAATTTATACTTACAGATATGTATATAAATTATACGATTTTGTGTGTATATGCGCGTGCGTGCATACATATATATAATCAATTGCCAATAATTCATATCATAATATTTATACATATGCATATACATATATATAATCAATATATGCGTTATATACAAGCTAGCAATGTATAATTCTGGAACTTTTTAAGTTTTTTCCATCGTGAAATTTTGCATTACATTTTTCGTACATGGGACATTCACGAGTAAATACGTGCGCGGAATGTAGAATTTGCTTGGTAGGTACCGTCGAATACCTTCGCGGAACGCGCTTTTGAGTTAGATCGTTTCAAAGTTGGCGAATGCTAAATCTGCGCATCGTCAAAGTTGCACTCATAGCCTAGGTAAGCTCTAACAAGCTGTCGGGTATTCAAATTGGATTCCAACTTAAACTTATCGCGTCTTAATACGACATTGACGAGGTAATATTTCCACCATGAACGACCGTTCAAGTTCTTGGCGCATCTGATTATCTCGGTAATCGGTAATATCATTCCGAAAATGCGTATACGTCCTTTACATATGACAGATATATGAACGAAAATATCATAGACATATTTATTATATTACCATATGTATAACCTTATCAATAATCGATCAATTGTGTGGTTAACAAAATTAATATTAAATATTTTATAATCACAATAAATAACACTTCAAAATAACGATTTTGTTAAATTGGATTATTTTGGCTGATTCTTATATATTTTTTGATGCTGATTTTGAAAATAAGATTAAAATTTATTCTACAGGCTCCAATATTTTGTAATCGACTCACTTATACTAAAAACTTGTACATTTTGCTAACAAATAGCTTGTTGGCCTAAGAGACATTTTTCTTAATTAAAATGATTTATTTTTGTTTACAGCCTTTTATAACGAATAGAAAATCATCGTTGATCGAATATCACGTTGAATTAAATATCTGTTCCATATAAATAATTATTTATGTTTAAGCAGAAGAAAGAATTTTTAATTAAATATTCAAAAATTCTTCTATTTATTTACTTATCCTTATTAAAAAATCCTGCCCTTCTCATTTTGGCAAACAAATTTGAAATCAGTGGAAAAAATACTATAAAAGAAATACTTCATCACATTAATTTAATAAGCAAAGTGAAATTTTGTCGACCAATGTATTATAATTGATTGCTATTATAATTGATAAAGAATCTTCTTTTTCTGCATGTTACAAATATGTATAAACGTGTCATCTTTGTATATTTCTTCTATCGCGATATATTTTAAATACATTCGTAACTGATATAAAGTTGTATGATCCACATGAAAAATTTAAAAGGCTTAAGCTTAACTTTCGTTAATGCAACATTGGCGGGATAACGTTCTCTCTTTAACTCGAGGTATAGAAACTTTCAAAGCCAACAGTCGATCAGGATACATGGATTAATACGAAAGTGCAAAAATCTACTGCACATGTATTACACTATCCTAAATTTCTCTCTCTCTCTCTCTCTCTCTCTCTCTCTCTCTCTCTCTCCCTCTCATTCTCTGTTTAAACTTTTTAAAGGCAGATTCAAAGTAATTTGATTATTTCAATAATGCGTTTGTTCTTCAAACTTGTTTTAATTCAAAACGTTTTCAATTAACACGCGTATTCACTAGAAATTCTTTGTTTCAAAAGCATTGTGTAATCTTCAGAAGACAAGAAAGTAAAACTAGTTTCATATTCTCTCTTTTATTATATGTATTTCAGAAACTTCCGAATTGCCATATACTTCTATTAATAAAAATCTTAAATAAATTTAAAATAAAATTTAAATTAAACTTTAATATTAACGAATAATAAAATATAGACTTTTTTAAAATTGTTATTTTGATAATTTAAAAATTAATAACACACTAGATTTGTATTCTTTTGTTAACTTTTACAACTTTGTTAAATTTTATGAATGTTATTCTCTCTAAAAAGATGTGGATATTATTTAAAATCTTTATTCATAATCATTTTCTAATAAATGTCACTAGCTTTACTTCAACTTTGTAATGTGGTATTTTATGATGGCGGATGAATATTGTTCGACTAGGACTTTACGTGGCTTTGAGAAGTTTTAGTTCAATTAGTTTATTGAAACGGAGGGCGGGAGGTCGTAACGATACGGTACTATTACGAAGTTTCTACAGGTCGTAAAGCGTTTCCATCCGTGCCACTTATTTTCCAGTAACTGCAAGTAACAAAGTGAATGCTCTAACACTATTCCTGGTTTCTCTTTTCTGTATTCTCAATTCGGGTTATGTTTGCTTTCAAAAAGAAATTAAACTGCATAATCTCTTTAAGCAACTTCAATATCAAATAAAGTCATTTATTTCCTTTTGTTTCTACAAATCATATTGTGATTAATAACAGTCTACGCTATTATATATATATATGAAATTTAAAATTATTGCAACAATATAAATTTTCATTTGTCTTGCTTGTTATTTCATCTTTTTTCTGTCATTAAGATTGATGCTTTATAAAGCCAAACACAGGGTGCCAATGTGTGTAATAATTTTTTTTATTTGTTCCAAAGTTTTGTACAAATATTTCGATCCCGTTTCGGATCCTTTTCAATGCTAGTGTACGAAATCATTGAGTTTCCTGACGCACTATATCGTAAACATTTTCTAATTAATCTCATGAATTATAATTGAAAGTTTAGAATAAGATAAATAATATAAATGATATAGTAGATAAATTTACACAGTTTAAACAAAGAATAATCAAATTTATCTTTTTTCTTTTTTCCTTTTTAATAAATACATGTGCACGTTTATATGTTACATATTATGTACATGTTTTCTATATTTAATATTCAAACTTTACTATTTTTTGTTATATAAAGCTCCAATACATAATAAATACCTTTATTTTTCAATTCTTATTCTCTTTACAAGATATAATGATAAAAATGACTGTTTAAACCGACTGTTTAACAATTAAAAAAATTTCTGGAAAAATCCTCCAATAATAAAGTATCCTCCAATGCATCGTATAAGACGACGCAATTAGGTAGCAACTTATCAAGGAGCCATAGATGAAAGGTCTTACATGAAGAAAATCAGACATTATAAAAAGTTAAGTAGAGCACTTCTCTTAAAATGGCGACGCTGTTCTCGTAAAGACTAATCGTAAGGCTGATGAAAAATTAGAAGGACCAAAAAAGACGGAATAAAGTTTCTCGTAGGTTGATGGGAAGTTTAACTCAATTTTATTTAAAAAAAGAAAAAAATATATAATTCTTAAAGCCATACGGGACAGAAATGCAAAAGCCTAAGCAACAAAGTGCGGGAACATTTTGCAAGTAGGATTAATCAGACAAAAGAAAAACAAAAAGAACGCACACCACCCTCAGAAGCTCCTTTGTACTTTGAATAAAGCTTTTAACATCTATGATACAATTTCGCTCGCTTTACGTGGCTTATTAATGATGAGATGATGAAATGCATGAAATATATATAATAGTACTTATTGGAAAACGTGATAGCACATATAAGAAATAACTCATAAAATTAATAAATATATAAAATCTGCTTAAATCATCTAAGTAATCATCTAAGTTTTGGCAACTAAATTTTAATAGTGCTCATAGCACTATTAAAATTTACTATAAAAATGAGAAAAATGTATAAAATAAAATTATACTAACGGTAATAAATGTATAATTAATTAAACTTTCTTTCATAAACTATATATCTCAGACAAATAGTATAATATTACTATTACAACAATAGATAGTATAATATTACTATTACAACAATAGATAGTATAATATTACTATTACAACAATAGATATATCGTTGACGGACTTAATAGAACTTTAAGTTAATCGATAGTTCAAAGTAAGTACAAATTTAAAATTAATTAGTAGATTTATTTGCGCGTACATGCGCAAAAGAAAAGATTAATTAATTTTAATAAAAATAAATAAAAGTAAATTAATCATTACAATAACCGAACTAATTATTATTCGTGTTACCTAAAAAATTAAATATCACATTAATAAGAAATTAATAAAGAATCAAAAGAAAAAAGTTGAAGAATTTGTGGTGTTACGTCAAATAAAACTATAAAAAGAATTGTAAAAGTCATTGGTTTTTTCGAGCCAGGAGAATGTTAAAATAATGTAGACGTGATATGAAACAAAGATGAGTTTATAAATAGCTTATTTCCTTGATTTATGATTCAAGCATATTACTTACAACAAAAGGTTTGTCTCTTCGGCAATCTAAAACATTCTTCCTATTCCAAGATCTGAATATCTCGGGATTATGTTAGCGTTACTAAACGTATTTAGCATAGTATTACATCGCTGAAACGTTATCCCTTGCAGTGACTGCAGAATGTAAACCGTCTTACGGAATAATCCGATAGTCTTAAGACGAAGGTCTCAAAATAGTTAGATGCTCGATCGATCAAAAGAAAGAAGACATTATTTTATTCTGCAGAAATTACATGTTGCGAGCCGATTTCCTATCGTAATAACTAATTTTTAGTTTAAAACATAAAACGATGTTCTATATCTTACAAATTATTATGCGATGACATAGTCT